TATAAAATTTTATCTATAATTATTATTTTATTATTTTAGGTAGTTTATTTTACTAAAAATCAGAAATAGAGATAAAGAATAGAAAATCATAATTATAATTTCTAGATTATGACTAGATTTTTTATTGTTTTAATTGTTTATCTTTTGCCAAAGTTGGCTTATTTTTTGACTCCACCACCACCCCAATATTCCAATCCCAGAACAATTTTTCAGCTGGCTTCTAATGCATTGTCACCACAGCAATTCCAAGATGTCATTCGACTCATGTCCAATTTCATTACAACTCACTATGCTGATACTACTAGAGATAATCCTTATAACCTCTTTCCAGTAGGAAGCACATCAGTGGAGTTTCATATTGGTGAAATGACTTTAAGGATCACTTTTTATATCAATGCCCCTGTTGTGGTGGCTATGTTTTGTGTTGCAGATCCCTTTGTAGCAATCAATTTTCCCTCCCATTTGGTGCGAGCCACATTCAGAGCTATTAGAAATCAAATATTTTTAGATGCCTCAACTTATATTGAAGGAAGGCGAAGGTTTTGTGCTGAAATACGCACAGAATTTTCAAATTTTGCCATACACTATCGAGTAGACTTTGGTGTTCATCAAACACAAAATATTTCAAATAGTAACTTTAGTATGGCCACTAAAGCACTAAGAAACACAGCTAATGTTTTTGTTCTTATGGATTTTGATGGAAGTGATTGTTGGAGCTTTGAATCATCACTTGTAGGGAATCAAAATGAAGTTCCAGGATCATTTATTCTAGCAGGAAATAGCTTAAAATCAGGGAATGGGCTTTATAAGCTAATGCTACATAGTGATTGTAAGTTAGTGCTAATTGAGAGGAGCAGTGGAACAATTTTATATTTAAGTGAGCACCCTTATAGGCCCATTGATGGATGCTTGGCTCATTTACAACAAGATGGGAATTTTGTGATTAAAGACTATCAAAATTATGTTTTATGGTCATCTAATAAATATTGCAATCCACAACCAAATTGTATTATCACAGCAAGTTTAGTGGTGAGAGGGGATGGAAATGTTATCATTTTTAACTTTGATACAAAACAAGTAATTTGGCAAGCTATTAAATAATACAATATAGTTCTACTTTAGCATCACGCTCGCTATCACGAAAACTGTCATTTTCTTTTCTGCAGAACATATGGTAGGTCCACATCATAACCTGAATAATAAAACTTTAGAGACAACCAAAACAGAAAATGATTTCTTACCTTCTCTGGCATGCCTAGGACACCTTTGGTCTCGACCCCAACACTATCCATGATGCATCCGGAAGAGAATCTCTTGAAGTTGACTCAACTTGCATACCTCATAAGGCAGGACATCCAATGGGGGTCATTCGGGAGAATGAAGGCAACTTGACTGGTTGTGTGAAGG